TATATATATGGAGTCCACTGTTCAGTGGAAAGCACGTGGGACTACGTAGTTCAAATTTTAGCGTTGTTTTATTTAACTATTTATTAGGTACCAGTGGGGTTTGGTCAGTCAGTGTCACACCAGATGTCGTGCGCGTTCAGTGAAAGGCAGGATATTAATACTTAGTAAGATATCAAAGACTGTCGTTAGAAAGGTTAGAGGAAGTAGGTGACGTAGAGATGATATTGAGGCGGTCAGGAATAGGTGAAGGCCATGGAAATAAACTTACAGTACAGTCAGAGATATAGATAAGGTTGATGAGGTACAGATGTGAGTAGTTTAAGAAGCGATGTGGTAGAGAGGGTGGAAACTGAAAGAATGTAGAGAGAGACGGAGAAGGGTGAATGAAGATGGTAGATGATGAGGGGTGTAGAGGATGAAAATGGAAAGAGGGAGATCGGGGAAGTAAAGGAGGAGAGTGGGGATAAAGTAGGCAATCACATACTCCCATGTTACGATAGTATATGTTCTACTATGGTATTGATATATTCTCATGTAAGAAATAAGCATATTCGACTCACGAACAGGCCACCACAGACGACCCATATATGTCGAATAGACGCATACCACTGGTGGTATATAATATCACTATTCCACACACGCAGAGCTAGAAAACGCGTATCCTTGAAACCGCATGGTTACTCGTTCACAGGGCCGGTTTAAACCACCAATCCCCGCAAATTATCCTCCGGGCAATCATTACATTTCTTGTCTCGTTACGTAGCTTATGTAATATATAACACAAGTGTTTGTGTGGCTGGAATTGTGTCGAAAGGAATGCTCGCGAGCAATTCACATCTTTTTTTTGCTTTGCTCATCAATGTTTTTTTTATGTTTACCGTGAAGCTGTCGTGCATCGTAATGGTAAGAAGCACCAGCATGATTGCCTGTCCACCGCAGCCGACCAACTCGGGCAAGCGTCTGCCGAACCTTTCAATAACAAACATGCTGAAGAGGTTCATTAGGATCTTGACGCATCCGATACCCAGACTAGCGTGCGCTGACTCTCCGTACGCAACACCTGCTTTGTTGAAGAGATGCGTTGAGAAGTAAAGTACCTGCAAACAGAAAGGAATCGCGTAATATAAGAGGTATAAGAATATATTAGGCGAATTATGTTATAAGGAATTCATATTTCGCACAAAGTTTTTTTTCACAAGGGTTAATAACATAAGGACTTTCGCCGATGCACACACGAGTTCTCGCACTATTATTCCTCCATCGAAACATGGAATGACAATACTAATACAATATATACGATATATATATATATATATATATATATATATATATATATATATATATATACGCACACGCACACACACACGCACACGCACGCACGCACGCACGCACGCACGCACGCATGCACACAAGCGGTTTGCAGGTATCGTACGATCTGTCTTACTGTCACGTCCCACATTAAGGTAGTATCTCCGATGTTGGTATCTGGTCTCGGAGTATGTTCATATCACTTGTCAGGTATACTTGCTCACAAAGTTCACCGCAGATTGACCAGTGCAGATATAGCTGGCTACCTTGTTATGGCGGTTTATGTACTCAGCTGGGGCCAGCACTGTGCATCCGGCAATGATGTGGATGATGGTCCTTGCGGCACATTCTGCACTTGCTGTTGACCTGTTGCTTGAGGATGTTGCGTTGAAGGTATCTGGTGTTGAGTGCTTGGTTTTGGGCTGCGATGATCAGGCTTTCGAGCCCGGAACGCTTCCAATCTTATCGACAAATGGCCTGTCGAGGCTCTTGTAGAATCTTCCATGCAAGGGCGCTTGTTCTTCAATACCTCGATCTTCTCTGCTTCCATATTGGCCTTCAGTCTCTGCGTCGTTAAGGATTGGCTGGTGGGCTGTTGAGACAAGTACTTTGTTTTGCTTTCTTTTGCCTCACATAAGAGAGAGTGCTTTGATTTTCCAGACTGATGAATCTTGATAAGCTTTGTAAATTGTCTTCCTTATGCTCTATGTAGTCGCCTAGACCTACAATGACAGTGTTGTATGCTGACATCAGTTCAATGAAACCACGGCTACCATTTTGAACTTTGGAAGACTGTCTTGTCATCAAGCTCGATATTTCGACTTTTTACTAGTTTACCACTTTTTAAGATTGCGGTTGCACACTTGTCCAAGCCAAACTCTATCTTAATGTCAATACGGAATGCTTTGACTATTACCCAAAACCTGCTCCAGCTCATATTCGTTCCTGATGAACAGTTTAAGGTTATCCATGTAAAGCAGGTGGCTGATCGCGTTGTGCTTACCGATTGTAATGTAAAACCCAGACCCTGTCTATTCAGCATGTTGGTAAGCGGTGTTAGTGCTAAGCAGAATATCAGGGGCGAGAGCGAGTCACCCTGGAAGATTCCTCTCTTGATTGAGATATCTTCTGTCCTGAGGCAGCTTCCAATTGAGAGCTTCCTTATTATTTTTTTACATTATTTTTTTATTATCGTTACAATGGCTCAGTGTCATTCGCTTTCAGCGTTCAAAAACATTTGAATTGAATTTCATATAAAAGCAAATGAAACCTGCATGACCACCGTTCATCGATATACTCGATATAATATCAGGAGTCTAGACTGACTGGGATTGATAGACGTCTCCTATATCGATAGACTCCTGTACGTATGTATTTTTCCTCAGACATGTGTGTCAATAGTCATGTTGTGCAAACATATGCGACAATAGCCTAAAATCATTACGGAATGTATGTAGTACAGGGTCTCACCACACGATGACTTGTCACACAGAACAGACGCAGGTTAGACAGTCACATGTGGCTAAAGTGTCGTGATTTCTAGCGTGTGATAAACGTCTGTATTTTGACGTATGTCGGACATGTCTTACGACCGCATGCGATATAGTAGAAGCCCGAAAATCCGGACTGCTCGGGAATTGAGTTGGTCCGAATTTTCAAATTTTCCGGATTCTTGGACAGTACTTTTAAAATTCGAATTCAAGGAGGAATAACGAAGAGATGAACAGGTAAATTTGGATAGGTTATTCATTAGCAAATACAGCATGTTTTATTTATCAAAACGAGAAGATTTAAACAAAATTAAAGTCAACACTTGGCAAAAATGTAAACATAAAAATTTGCCACTACAAAAAAGAGCATGTAATTCTTGAAATTGTGTTTAAAAATGAATATTGTAAAAGAAAAATACAGTAAGCAAATGGAAGCAGAAGTTATTTGATACGAATTAATTATTTATTTTTAGTTTGAGGAGTTTCGAGATATCCGGGATTCTCGGGTAGTCCGGGTTTCTGGCATCCGGATTTTTGGACTTCTAGTGTATAATTAACCACTATTCTGAAATCTGATTCGTCTATGTGATTCTTTGCTGTGAGGTGTCCCGTTAGCATCCGTTTATGTAGTTTTGCGTTGCAATATATGCGTTATAACCAAAATCGTTATACTAATGTGTGCATTCTCTACCGCGTTATAATCGTTCCACACCGGGGTACATGATACGTCGTTAGCTTGATAGATATCCGGTGTGATGCCATGGAAGGACGGTGCGAGCACTGCCACTGATGTGCTAATATAAGCGAAACGCGCATTATCATTCCATTATTAGTTAGCTTGATTCTTTTAATGCATAGCGAATATTCTAGCGAGTAAGAACAGCATGGATGGTCTTCTATCAATGTAGCTTTAGAGTCGGCTGCTTTAGAACGATTTTCCACATGTGATATTGATAATCCTTTCCTGTAGTATGCATATTATACGCAATACAAATATCATCGAAGTACACAAGTGGGAACATCAGCATATTAACTGCCATTGCAAAGTGGTCGCTTATAACTTTGCTGTTTGTGCTTTATAGTCACCAGCTGGTATTACATATCAGAGAGACTTGAACTTATGATATACTTATAGGAATTTCTTCTTTATATTAAAGAATTAGCATGCAGTGATCGCTTCGGTTATACGTCTGCTGTCTGTAGGCCTACCAGCGTTTTTTGATGCATCGTCTAGACGCAGCCACGATGATGAAACAAATAGGAATTTGAATTGGTTAGGGGTATATAGCTTTAGCTTTAGCTATAGTCAAGCTTTATTCGGTCTACGTGCAGGTCAGCCTGCTGCTCCGCGGTGAGTTGTCAGACACGGAGGGTGCCTACGTCATATGTCATCTGACCTCTTAATTTTTCGAGCATTCACTCACTAACCTAATGACGCACGAAATCATGTTGACGCTTTTTTAATCACAAATTCTACGAGCAATCAAATTATCGGTTCATATCATTCGATATAATGGCTCCGTTATTTTTTCTCAAGGCCTCAACAACAACAACAATAACAACAACAACAACAACAACAACAACAACAACAACAACAACGTAAATTTTTAGCTAAACAACTTTTATTCAAATGTTTTACAAACTTAAATTGCTAATATACGTCACATTACCTATGCATAATTACGCAGTTAACTGCTACGAATGAGATCTTCTAACACAGTTTGGAAAGCACGTTACTGGCATTACCACATCAAAACAATAAATAAAGGTCTCCTATTAACACTAAACAACAACACCTTGCTCTGCCGTAACGCTATACGTACAGTGACATAAGTTATGTAGCGAGTTACTGCATGATGCCTGGTGATCATTGTGATATGGGTTACCTCATCGTTCTCGCGCTCTTCCCACGACTAATATTGATTGCCTTCCTTGAATGGTATTTCGCGAGCACCCCTTATATTTGATATTAGGGTCATGTCGGTTAGGGGGCATCTAAAGCCATGATCCCACAAACATTAGAATCTAACGCATACTGAATATTATCAAAAACCCTTAATACTATAGTATTATAAGTTCGTGATATTTTGTTGGTACGGGAACTGAGCGCAACAACCTATCTCCCTGTGACAATATGGCTAGATGACGGTCTTGTATTGTGCATATATTACAAATAAAAGTGAACTCATCTTGTGAGAACATCACAGTATCATCTATGCTCAGTGATGGATGATTATTACCCACAGTGAAGACGACCCCAGACACGCGTGCAATGACAAAATTACATGAATGCTAACATTGTGCCACTTCATACAATAGCGTTTGAAAAATAATAATATCTCACCCGTATTATATTTTTCACTCAATATGTCGTTTTAATGTTCTAAAACTGCAAATCGTCATCAGCAAATCAAAACAAATACAAAATTGCCTTGATTTTCTAGCTGCGCTAAATACGTACCGATAAATTCTTGACAAAGTTTGATTCACTGAAAAGGTGACAAAGATATTATCACCCTACTTAGATAGGCTTAATACTTTATTATCACACTAACTAGAAAACGTTTGTTGTTTGATTATGATACTTACTATAACCGGGTTGTCGTTCGTATTATCTGTCTAAACAATATAGACAAAACATGGCCTCGCGTTCATAGACGTTATATTGCCTACAGATATAAACCCTAGATTGAAATGAATAGATGATGATGATACTTCAATGAAGACTGGCTGCATAATTCCTCACGATAGAGGCATACTTTAAAAACACATGAATATAGTTTTCTACAGTCTAGCAACTAGTCCGTTATGGACTTACTTGCAGAATAAGAATCACGAAATAAAACGAAATAAGTGAAGACGAAACGAAACATTAACAGTAAATGTGTGAGTTCGCTGTCCGTGTGTACGCTGGACCTTCCTAAAAAATGACAACACGCGAAAGAGTGAATTCATGTCAACCGAGTATACGCTCAGTCTGTGTTCCCTTGCACTAAGCAACAGGTAGTGTTCAATGGAATACTATGGAGCCAAGTGTGATTTACTGCCGCCGCTACACCGCAAATTCTGTGAGACACAGTGAGTATTCTAATTGATTCCAAAATAAACGAAGATATAGGCATTTTCTTTGAGAATAATGCCGAAATTATTCTAATTTGCATCTAGCGTGAATCAGTAGCAGAGACTGTTCACGTATCATGAGATAAATTGAAGTAAGGCGTCACCTTCAAGTGCTTGCAATCTAACAAGGTGTATTTTGGAGGCTCATCTGCCTATGGAAGCTATATCGCCTATCCTGGGAACCTGTACTCCGGTGCGAATCTGATCGGGGTCTAGCGTCATCCATTTCCACTTTCTCGCGTTCACCCTCCGCGTTCTCGCCGCCCAATTTATCAGTAGGCTTTGCGTCCTCTCCCGACGTCACCGCGGAGAAGTTCTTGATGCGTTCAGCTTTCGGCCGAAATTCGTTCACGATCTCCTCGATCGGTCGATCGCGCGTCTCCGGCAGGTAGATGTAGATGTAGATGAAGAGCAGGATCGAGAAGCCGGCGTAGATGAGGAACACGTACGAGCCGATGGCCTCGTTGAGCGGTAGGAACGACATGCCGACGATGAAGTTGGCGGTGAAGTTCACGAAGAACGACATGCTGACGGCCGTCGGGCGAGCGTTCTCCTGGAACAACTCCGCCGTGATCATGAAGCAGATCGTAGCTGCAATGGAAGATGAAGAATCTACTACCGGATCGCTGTTGCTATGAAACAAGCAGACAGGCAGATAGAAGCTGTGTTAGAACAGCGAAGCTGGAGTAGCAAGCGTAACGTCTGCGTGGATACATGCAGTTATGATAATCTCGTCAGCAAATTGTCTATCCAATACTGATGTGCGATATTTACTAATCTTAAAAAAAAAATTTTATTATAATAATTTACAATATTAGCTGTAGTATTTACTGTGAAAGCAGCTGCGTGACCTCTGGTTAAGGACGCGGAGATAGGCACCGCCCTATGCGCCACATAGACACGAGAAGAGATGTAACTAACGTAACACACTAACAACTAATATATTATACAACTAACAAAACAATACCCAATTCTGGTAATTCTGCTGACGCGCATGCTGTGTGACGCATCGTATTTAACCACGGCCCTTTGGGTACGTTGTGTATGTTTAGAAATAATGTATTTTGTACGTGACTATGGAGCACACACCACTACTTACCTGGTCCGAATGTGTTGAAAGCAATGAAGGTGATCGTCGATATAATTGCCAGAGTGTGTACGTACGGATAATCCTAAAAAGAAACAATTACATCTTATATACACACTGCTAGAAATTTAAGTACACTTATATTGTTGACTTTGTGGATATAGGAAGCATAGGCCTAAATACAATAATATCGTTAACATTTGTAACATGATATGAAACCCTTGCATCTTTGCATTAATAGTTTTACTATGTTAATAATGTTTTAATAATTTATAATCAATATGTATATATATGCCCTATCGGCTGTTAAGACAAATACGATATATTTATTTATTTCAGATACATATTTCTATTAAACTTATATGATTTGGTAATAGATACTATACATTTCTTACTCGACCTATACATACATATATATTATATATATATTATATAATATATATATATATATATATATATATATATATGGAGTCCACTGTTCAGTGGAAAGCACGTGGGACTACGTAGTTCAAATTTTAGCGTTGTTTTATTTAACTATTTATTAGGTACCAGTGGGGTTTGGTCAGTCAGTGTCACACCAGATGTCGTGCGCGTTCAGTGAAAGGCAGGATATTAATACTTAGTAAGATATCAAAGACTGTCGTTAGAAAGGTTAGAGGAAGTAGGTGACTAGAGATGATATTGAGGCGGTCAGGAATAGGTGAAGGCCATGGAAATAAACTTACAGTACATCAGAGATATAGATAAGGTTGATGAGGTACAGATGTGAGTAGTTTAAGAAGCGATGTGGTAGAGAGGTGGAAACTGAAAGAATGTAGAGAGAGACGGAGAAGGGTGAATGAAGATGTAGATATGAGGGTGTAGAGGATGAAAATGGAAAGAGGGAGATCGGGGAAGTAAAGGAGAGAGTGGGATAAAGTAGGCAATCACATACTCCCATGTTACGATAGTATATGTTCTACTATGGTATTGATATATTCTCATGTAAGAAATAACATATTCGACTCACGAAACAGCCACCACAGACGACCCATATATGTCGAATAGACGCATACCACTGGTGGTATATAATATCACTATTCCACACACGCAGAGCTAGAAAACGCGTATCCTTGAAACCGCATGGTTACTCGTCACAGGGCCGTTTAAACCACCAATCCCCGCAAATTATCCTCCGGGCAATCATACATTTCTTGTCTCGTTACGTAGCTTATGTAATATATAACACAAGTGTTTGGTGTGGCTGGAATTGTGTCGAAAGGAATGCTCGCGAGCAATTCACATCTTTTTTTTGCTTTGCTCATCAATGTTTTTTTTATGTTTACCGTGAAGCTGTCGTGCATCTGAATGGTAAGAAGCACCAGCATGATTGCCTGTCCACCGCAGCCGACCAACTCGGGCAAGCGTCTGCCGAACCTTTCAATAACAAACATGCTGAAGAGGTTCATTAGGATCTTGACGCATCGATACCCAGACTAGCGTGCGCTGATCTCCGTACGCAACACTGCTTTGTTGAAGAGATGCGTTGAGAAGTAAAGTACCTGCAAACAGAAAGGAATCGCGTAATAAAGGGTATAAGAATATATTAGGCGAATTATTTTATAAGGAATTCATATTTCGCACAAAGTTTTTTTTCACAAGGTGGTTATAACATAAGGACTTTCGCCGATGCACACACGAGTGTTCTCGCACTATTATTCCTCCATCGAAACATGGAATGACAATACTAATACAATATATACGATAATATATATATATATATATATATATATATATACGCACACGCACACGCACACGCACACGCACACACGCACGCACGCACGCCACACGCGCGCGCGCGCACATAGACACACACATACACACACACCACACACACACACACACACACACACACACAACACCACACACACACACACACACACACACACACACACACCTCAGACATATATATAATATTAATACATATATAATATATATATTATAATAGCCTATATTTTGCAAATTTTTAAATGTATGCGTTGCTCAAATATAAACTTACAGGAATCACGCCGCCTAATTGCAAAGACAAGGGGACAGCAAAGCTGACATACAGAGCATTTCGAAGTGTTGGATCTTTGATGATTTCCAGCGCATGCTTAGCTGAAAACAGTTAATACAATCAATATATATATACATCGGTATCTCATTTAAATTCAACCTATGTAGTACGTAGGCGTATTTATAGGTACTGTATGGATGGATTATATAATTCGGAGGTTTTTGTGGCGTGCTTTCCGATACTGTGGGTGTTAGAGAGGTGAGAACTGAAATCATGAACGAGATCACACGCATGTTCGGCCTATATTTACGTTTTGCCTAGTTTTCTGTGATTGATGCTCGTGCCTTAACTCCTCAAGTTCCTCTCGCAGCTCTTCCGGATCAGTGGTCCCACGGAAGAATTGCAAAGCTGTAACAGGAACGAGGAAGGTCCGCAAGTATAACACTAGTGAGTAATGCGCTATTGGTAATACCCGTCAGTGATAACAATACTTATTCGTGTTGCAAATTATATCACCTTTCTTGAACTGTTAAGCTCAGTTAAATATGTGATTCGTACCGTTACGTCATGTAAAAATCATTGCAGCCACACACTTGGCAGACAACCACACAACGGCTTTCTGCCTTAATACGAACCACAGCGCCAGTAGACAGATATATTGTCAATCGTACTTGGAACTATATCAAGGTAACGTCGGTAATATCAAACGGTGTACTGATGGCTTTACAATAAAACATTGCTCTGATTTGTATTTCAGTTGACATTATAATGTCCAATAAAAATTAAGAATACGCACACTCTAGTGCCTCCTTTTCCTTTTTGCTGTGAGCAGAGGAGGAATCGTGCGACTTTCGGGACTAAATGGCAACGAAACCAGCTGGAAGACGGTAGTGATGCAGTTATACTGTAAAATACACATTATGCCTAAAATAGTTGTCTACATATAAAATTATATTGATGTTTTCTTATAATAGTGTACGAACGTCTGCGTAGATCTAGCAAACCCACATCCTCGGTAGTGCGTTTATCATATGGGCTGTCACATATATACCAACGCACGCGCACGCATACACGCGCACGCACACGTGCAGACACATACATCATCATGTGTAACATATAAATAATGTATAAACATAATCACGAGGACTCGATGAGAATGTGTTGGCCGAAGGTTCACCCAACTTAACTGAGATAGTTGAGATAAGAAGCCAGTACAAACATCATAAATATAAATATATATATATACTATATAATACTATATACATATGAACAAGTCAGTAAAGTCGTCTGGGCACCGGCTTGTAAACGGTACTCTATTCAGCATCTGCGCTTGCAAAATGACTGTGATCTGCTGCACTAAAGTCCGCTTCATCGGTACAAGCGTCCGATAGGGTGGCTAGTAGGACACGCGCGCGCAAACACGGCAGATGATACTGTAGCTGGCTGCGCAGTTGCATATCTTACCACTGACTCTTTTAATAGGCAAAGTGTCAGCAAGGTCCATAAAGATACAAGTAGTTACAGATGCCATTCATATTATCAAGACACTTATAAGGGCGTGTGCACTCTTGATATTGGTATAAATAATATTATTTACTACATAAAAGGAAACAGATGTCATGTTCTGTGTTTGTCAGTTGCGATAGAAGTGTTACACGTGTTTTTTCGCATGTATTTGGCGTATTAGACGTCAAACCCCCCGTACCGTAGTGTCCAAAAACTTTACGCAGCAACAAATGTCAATGATGTCATTATGGTTATGCAAATGACAGGTTATGACTGGCTACTGAGAGAAGGTAAAGAATGGAAGCTGGTGCAAAGAGGATAGGGATACGCTGGGTGTAACATGATCTGAAAGTCGAAAAGTATTTTGTGAGATCTTGCAAGGGTATATTCCTGTACTGATAATATTTACCGTTCCCAACCAAGTGTTGCTGTCACGAATCAAACTTACTGACGTTATTATTCACTGGTTATTTGCACTAAGTTAGCTAGGTTTTGTTCAAAAATTAAAAAAATTTCCTAGGCTTTAGACATAATCAACATTGAAATGTTGCAAACATAAGTAAGGCCGTACGTAACAGCAGGAGGGTCCAAACTTTTCATTGCCAAATACTTCTTCTAGACCGAGCAGCTGAGATAATAACATAGACGTTGCGAAACCAAATTCGTAGAGTCCTCCATTGCACCCGCGAAGATGGCGTGGTGAGGATCTCCATAAATAAAGGGTTGCGACGAGGAGAACCTGCAAGAATTTGTTAAAATGTTAGTTTATCACACAACCACTGTCTACGGCGGACCTATGAACACACCGCAGTTGTATAAGCAATTGTAGTATTTCAGTGGTTAAATGCCTCTAAACGATTATAGATAGGTTAGTGCTTTATTTACAAGATTAACGCAAGAATGCAGACAGCCTAATGTACATCACACTAGTTGACTAGTTGTGTAACGACGCTTCGTTGGTTCTCATAAAAGCATGGCAACCTATTGTTGCCTGTGCTATGAAGAATTAAAAAAAAAAAAATACCTGCTGCCAATCCGAATACCATCGACCTACAATATCATCTCGAATGAATTGGCTTTCTTTGACAGTCCCATAAGGCAGACAGCCTGCTAAGACTACTTACACTGTTCATCAGCATCAGTCGTTTCCTGTAAAACCATATCGAATCATTATTCTTTAGACAGGATACTCGGCGTTGATAGCTAGTGGGGTTACATTATGAGGAGGTGGGACCGCGGTTGGGGTTGGGTTTGCGACCGAGGTTGGTCATAATATCGGGGTCTCGAAGACGAGTCGTGGACATGTGGATGATGACAGTAGGGGACAGGTTGGGAGACGGATAGGGAAAAGGTTTTGGCGACTGGAGATAGAGGGCAGGCAAGAGGACCGAGGTAAGGAATGGTGGGGTGGGGGTAACGAACAAGCCCTTCGACAGAGGTAGGACACGTATTTTTGCCCTCCAACATTTTCACTCAAATGGGGCTTGCGTATCAGCGGATATCATCCCAAGCACGCGTTTGCGCGCGCACACACGCACACACGCACGCACGCACGAACACAGGCACGCACATAGGCATATAGACATATTTGCTGTTTCGATGCTCTACGCCATGCATTACTTAGCGTAAGAATTTTTTCCAATTTTCCCCAAGGCGATTACTCTGTATGAGCTCCCATAGCTACCACAGACTCCTCTTGTAGGCCCGCCGATTACGGACATTGTATTGCATTATTAAGGCAGGTCGCTCCACCAAGAACAGCTGCGATTTTCAATTGCTAAAATCTATTAGTTACCTTCCTAATTTTAAACGTTCAAACAACTCAGGAACACTCGGACCTCACGCTACACTGATCATGCAGAGACGTGCGGAGGATGGCGAGTCTTACCGGCCAAACCTATTAGCAAGGCGTCAGTTAAGAAGCTCGCTGACAGGATACCGATTGAGTAGATGGCCGCCGTTGAAAGGACCAGCAAGACCTGTGAAGGTTTTATCTGACATCGGTGTGCCGTCATTCGCGAAGCATACGACGTGTTGTAGAAATTCTGCAAGACTGTTTTAAACACATGAAGAAATATTTCTCGTCAGCTGTGCGCTCATGTATGGGTTATTGTTACAGTGAGGGCAAGTTATAGTATACTACACGCGTCGACGCGCGAACGCAGAAACGTCGCAGAAAAGCAATTGAAAAAAATGCTTCCAGAATGTTGAAGCATGTTTGGGGTTAATCTAAACATACCCTTTTAGGATTGTTGATGACGACCATGTGTGTACCCAAACAAGTACGCTCGTTCCTAATGACAACTATGATAGCTGTCCGCAGCCAGCGCCCACGTCATTCCCTGCCAAACACATTATACATTGTGCATGGTTGATAACAAAGTATAACCAAACGCTAATTCATTGTTCAAACTTAACGATAAATAGTAGTAATAATAATATCAATAATATTGATAATAATAATAAGATCGATGTTTTTGTGTAAACGTGTCGTGTAAACACGAATATTGGTAAGTAGTTATTGCTGTATTAGTTTATTTATAGCTTTTTTATTTTTAGCTTTTTTATAGCTATATTTTATTTGTGTGATCCAAAATTATGTTACACACACCACGCACACGCACGACGCACGCGCACACGCACACGCACACGCCACACACACACACACACACACACACACACACACACACACACACGCACGCACATATATATATATATATATCAAGCCCATATATATATATATATACTTTACTCATAATTTATGTGTCCTTGTGTAATTTGAAAATGATATTCTCGAAAAAACGTAACCAGGTCAACGACACAAATCTTTTTCCTCTAACTAAATATTGCAGGGACGTGCATCTATCGGTACTTGTTTTTTGATAACTCACATCAGAGTCTACGCCTATCAAGTGCTACTGAGTCTGTCATCTCTGCTCTTTCAATCGCACCAGGAAACGACATACAAAAATAGACAGGAATGGTGTGGATGTGGCGCTGGCATGCGGTCCACAATTTTGTTCGGCGCACGTGATCTACTTCTGATCGGGAGTGCTGCACTGACTTCTAAATGCCAAAGTTTGCCGGGGCGCCCTATTGGTATTAGCGCAGTATTGACAAAAAAAGAGTGTCCGTGAAGCCAGAAATATACACACGCTTTATATTAGAGAGAATCCGACCCCGATCCGAAATATACCAAAGTTCATTTATTCTGAGCAATGTTCACTTGCTTAGGATCAGTCCACGAGCAAATGCCGCCCGAATGCGCTATATAACTGTTCATATGATTTTAGTCTACATAAGCCTTGGACTTTAATCTTTAAATTCAAAACATTTTGTAAGAGTCTAACGGCGTGTTTTTCGTGGCGCGTTGTTATAGTTGCAATAACAGGCCTTACATTATATAATGTAGTAATTGCCTGGCATTCCCCATAATTTTCTTATTGTTCATAAATTGTGTGTGAAGAACGATCTTTCTGTTGCCGATTTTATTGGCGATATAGGTAACATGAGCACGACTGAACTTGACCTAAGTAACCCATTACAAATAGCAATGCTTAAATCATAGAATACTAGACTGGGCGGTAACTTGCCTGTACAAGCTCCCGATGTTACGTCTTTTCCTCTTTTAAAATCAGTGGTTAAATTGGAAATGTTTAGCTGGCTATTGGTTACCATCTGTCAAGAGTGGGAAGCTGGTGCGGGGTGGCTTTTTCAGTGGCAAGTGTAGCTCATGGTTAAGTTTTTTGAAGAAGGAACTAACGATATAATAATAATAATATATTTTGTCGTGTATATTAGCATGAAAAACGCAACATGGATTCTATTTTAACTCTACTTAAAATAGAGGAAAAATGTAGCACCAAAAGATGTGGCGCTATAAGGTTAGGCAAGGGGAGTAGAGGGGGA